CCAGAATTTACAACTAATTTAATCACAAGATCATAAGCATAGGTGAAGTTTGGTTTGATTGGTTGTTTATTCGGCAAACTCTTATAATCATCATCAAACAAACAAACAAAATGTAGGGTACATACGTACGTAGTATTATTTGTACTTCCATACATCCAATGAATTTTGAATGTTTAATGGCGTACTGAAACTTTCGTGAAATATTGATGAATTTAAAATTGCAGACGCCAACATTCCACAGAAATGCACAATGTTACATGTCGCAAAGCAGCGCCCATGTGTCAAATTACCATTATTCGACAAATTTTGTAAATTATTGTTACAATAATTTTATATTGTTTACAATATAGGATGTCTTGGAAGTTTAGATTTACAATTTAATTAATCGGTTTAAATAAAATCGGGGACACTTCAAAAAAAAGATGAACCCAGTGATCATACATCACGTGAAATCATGCAATTACATCATTTGTTTACTAGCACTAACAAAATCGGCCTAAACTAACCCTAACACTAACCCTAACTTAGGCCGAATGATTTATCATGTGATGGGATGATCACTGGGTACCGGGGTAAATTCACCGGGGAAGTCTCCGGACACATACCATTCACGTGATTTGTACATACCGATTACCGGTATATGACATACCGATGAGTAAATATATAATAATAATAGCACAGTTACACAAAATGCAGTACATATGCAAAATACAGTACTGAATTGCGAACTCAATTAATTGATTGGTGGCGCAGCCACAATTAATAATTTTTGCGTTTGTTTGCAAAATGATAAAATATGTAATACTGTATAGACTTTCATATAAGTATATTTGCTTTCTTTTTCTAATTACTTGCAAACCATAATAATATTAGTTTACATTCTCTTTCGAAACAAATTTTATATCACAGCAAAATTTATAGCGAAAGCAAAAATCGCATTATTGCAATTATTTGCAATTTAATTGGTTACAATCTTGTAACAATTATAACAAATAGTAATAAATTTAAGGTACTCTTGATACGCATCGTAGATATTAGACATGATTTTAACAAATATTTACCGCATTAATATTTAATTAATACGTACGATTATTCAATTTATATTTATTACGTATTATATTTAATTAATTATAAATGAATAACTGATAATTATATTAGTAATATATAATACTGCTATGCAATTCTGGCCCGTAATACTGTATATAGAAACTCAATTTTACGCTTTTTATTTATAAACTTATAATTAAGAATACATTTAAATTTATTATATTTATTATAACCATATGAGCCAGGTTAATAGTATCCTTACTTATAATTAAGATAAATCAATAGCGATATTCGAAGTTGCTTGATCTTTTGAATATAAACTGTGCTCTTTCTCAAAGGCTTTCTGAAAGCGTAAAATTCTTGCTTCAAAAAGCTTTTCCCAAATTTTACTTTGACTTGAGCATATATTTTGCCATCTATTAACAATTACCGGAACGGGTGCATTTGGCTTTAACCTTATAGCAATATAATGATTTTGCTTGTCAATAAAGGCAAAAACAATAGGCTGGTTTCTATTCAACGGGATATTATCAGGCAGAAATGTTAAACATTGATGTCTACTAAAGTAGTGAATTGGGCGTTTGAAAGCATTGGCAATCGGATATCCAAAGGATGGCATTAACATCCAGTTTTCAACACCACAAGGACCTTTTTCCCATTGTACAATTGAGACAACTGTATTGTATTCATTTTCACCTTCAATGAATAGTTGAACATAATGGGCTTTTCGATTAATTAGTTCATCTAAAATAGTTTGTCGTACAGTTGGCCATTTGTCTTCAGATAGTTTAAGTGATACAGCAATAGCACGGAAACCACAGTTTCCATCACCCTGAACATTTATATAGCTTAATACGAACTCTTTCATAAACATTGGTATACTATCTTCGTATATATTAACATCTTTATGAGAGGTAATAGGAGATTGCAAAGCATTGACCTGATTTATCTTTGATTGTAAATTATGTAACACCTTTTTTTTTTTTTTGGCCTCTAAATCTTGCTTCTCACTTAAAAGTTTTTCGCGCTTGGTTCCTGAATGGCGACCTTTTAAAACTTTTATCTTAGGTGCTTTTAAAGGTTCAGAAAGTGGCATTGTAACTGCCTGATGAATACGTGCTATAAATTCTGCTTTTATAGAAGCATCCTCCGGAAGTTGACAGAATGTTTCTTCAGCTTTAAGAAAGGCTTTATAAAATTCTGGATCAGTAGCTGATAACTCTAAAGAAGGACTCGGAAGATCTTTTATATCAGGTCTATTAAGATACCAACGCTTATCAATAATATTAAGGGGGATTGGTCCTTCTTTAGGAATTGTGTGATAACACGGAAGTTTATAATTAATTCTTATTAGGCACTGACAAGTTGTTGCTTCGCTATATTTTGTTGAATTTTCTTGAATTTCAACTAAAAGATTTTTTATTCTATTAATTGCATACGTCGATATATGTCCAATAATCACACTAAAGCGAGAATCACGCAAAGTGAATGGATCACATGCCACTTTATTGGTACCAGTATATACAGCCATTTTGAGATTTTGTACTCGCATTCTTTGGTCGATGTTTTCAAAAACCGATTCTAATCCACTAGCTGTTTCTATAGCTCGTTTAAAAGCACTATGTGATGATTCAGCACGTGCAGTTGTTGAGATACCCATATGGCAGAAATTTTTTGTAAATGCGTAAATCCACAATTTAGAGTCTTTCATTAAAGTATCAATATATGCCAAGGGTTTTTTGGGATCATGTGCCTTTTCTGCAGCATTTTTAATAGATTTCATTGCCATTATTATATGCTCTTCATCAAATGATAATTGTAAAACCTCGACCTCTTTTTTAAATTCCATATAATCATCGTCACTATCAAAAAGCTTGCGACAGTTTGTTTTAAGGTTTTGATCTATCAAATGCCATGTACATAGCATTTTGTTTGCTTCTGGAAAACTTTTCTGAAGGCATTTCTAAGCGCTTGATCCCTATCTGACATAAATACACATGGAAGACAATTGTAAGCATCATATACTTTTTTGCGAAGCATCGTCAAAAACCATTTATAAGAATCCTCATTTTCATTTTCTATCCACGCCATTGCAATCTGAAATGTTTTTAAAGAACCTTTTTCATTTGCGATGTTACTAATACCGACTGCACTTACAAGAGGAAACTTATACACATTTGTTTTGTAAGTGGCATCTACAATTAAAACTTCATAACATTTTGCAGTATGCTTTGCTGCTTCAACATGTGAAAAAAACAAATGTGTTAAGTGTCCGTCTGGTGTTTTAAGTAACTCTATCATATAATCTCGTTGTTGAAAAGGACGCAAAAGCTTTTGAGCACTGTCAGTATTAGGACCTTCATTGAGCGCATATCTAATTCGTGCTCGCTTGTTCACTACATCTTTAGGTAAAACAGTACCACCATTATCAATTTTATTGATAGCAGTAGTGATAATACGTGTGGGTGTATTAATATTAGACAGATCGTGCAAAAGTTTTTTTTGGTCAACATTTAAACATCGATGTTGTGGAAGGCTTATTACTTCATTTGATATAAGTAGTGGATGGTTATGAGTATATTCAACATCCGTAATAATCCACACAATAGATAATTGTTTTTTTGCCACTGTAGCTCTAATGCGCACAGGACAATTACATCGTTTGGTTTTTGATTTTCGTTTACGTGATTCAGAAGTTATACCCCAATTATTGCGCCAGTTGTCACCTTTTGTACATTGTAAAATGACATATGGAGACTTGCCATTAATACCATTTAAGTTGCTACTACGTCGTGAAAAAGCAAAACCTTGGGCTTTAGCAGCAGCCTGAGCAGCTTCCTCTAAGGCTTCCAAAGTAGAAAACTCATCATTCACATTAGGTATATTCATTTTTTATTATTTGTATGCTTAATACATAATCTTTACGCTTAACAATCAAAAAAGAAAAAAATATAATGACAAAAAAAATCGACGTAGAAATATATATAGCGATAATAATGATATTAATTTTGATCTGTGTAACAGTAATCAAATTACGTTCTTAAACATAAAAAAATTGACGATATTATTTCGATCTGTGTAACAGTAATCAAATTACGTTCTTAAACATCATTACGTAATACAGTAATATTAACTATTTGGGACGTCCCAAACTATGTGATGACTAGTATCACATTAGGTTATTATTACTATTGCTAAATTGTGTATTACTATTCATCACATAGTTTGAAATAATCAATATCGGTATGTTATATACCGGTAATCGGTATGTACAAAATCACGTGAACGGTATGTGTCCGGAGACTTTCCCGAATTTCTGTCTGTCCACTCACGTGATGTTGGTCATCTATTTTAAATTATGCTCTGGACTTATATCGATATCAGTTTCGATTGCCTACGTAGTGATACAATAGTTATGTTTTTTGATATAGAAAGTATATAACTAACGCTAAGAATTTTCTGTCTGACCACGCACGTGATGTTGATCATCTACTTTAAATTATGCTCCGGACTTATATCGATATCAGTTTTGATTCGTACGTGTTCGGATTCTATGTCGGACTGATCCGTGCTTTCTGATTGGCCGTTTTTTCTTTTTAGAGAAAGTATCGGTATATAAACACACGCTAATCTCTTATTTATTTCACCTTATTTCACCCTATTTCACGTTGTATATTGCGCGATTTTTTTTTACTACTATTACTATTGTCTAATACTATAATCTATAATTAAAAAATTTTCACTATGACCAACAATAACAATAGACACGGTTATGCACCTTCTCTGTAATTAAGAAATCGACCGTCATGATCAGGTCAAAACCATGGCCAAACTGGTACTTTAGTACTGTGTCCTTTCCATATACGATAAATCACTGGTTCTTGTTATGCCCCAAAATCTTATAAAAAAACAAAAAGGTAAGCATATTTAAATAATTGATAGTTATTGGTCACTACACGCCTAATAATTATATATAACTTTTAACAAAAATCTAATTCCGGACTATATACCTTTCTTTGCATTAATAAAATTGTCTCAATATATTTAGTTGTGTTTTCGATAGTATGAACTCAGAACAATGGAAATGTTAGACGTGAAGGTATAATACTAAATTTCTAGACCTGTTCTTGTTGATAAACTAATTTATATTTATTATTATTATTATTATTATTGATTTTTTAGCTGTTTTCATGACATTTGATGAAAATTATAAAAAAAATAGAAATACAAGAATTCTTTTTAAAGAAATTAGTTCCAAGCCCAGTCGTAGGTAGTAATGAGGCAACGCGTAATAAAATAACAGATTTAGGTGATAAAGACTGAGAAATACATTTTCAACTTTCGATAATGCTTCTGAACCAAGCGTTATTTGAATACACTTGTGAAATCGAATTCTTAAGACGATGGTAGGCTCCTTGAACGAGCTTAGAAGATGCATGGCCTCGATTTAGCGCATCTATGACTTGCTCCACGATTTCGATGATACGATTTGCACATCAGCAAACTTTTCTTTCCTTACAACAAGTATGTGATTATGACAACTACCGGTACAATCATTTTTAATGTAACCTGGCAATAAAAAAGACCAGGTAATATTGACAACTTACCTCAGGAAACAGAGTACAAAAATTTGGGAAAACTGTGTTTGTGATATAAAAATATCCTAAAACTTTAATGAATAAGATATAATTGTATTTTGTATGAGTTGCAATTAGAAATGGCTTTTGTTAGATGTAAAATTAGTCTTATGACAATTTTGAAGAGTTATATCAATTTATACAATAAAAAGATTATTTATTTATATATGAATTTATGACCCATGATTTTGTAATAATGAGATTTTCAATTAATCAATCAATTACTAGACTATATTTATATATTTGAAGTTAGCAAAGTTTTTAAAATCTCTAGTTCAGTATTTGCAAAAATTAATCTTTTTACAAGAAATAATAATTAGTCATCATTCAGAATATTAATCATCAGTTAAAAATAAAAATCTCTAACTGATTATATAACCATCTAATTTCCACCTTTTGGAATTTTCAGAATTATAATGATAACAGTTAATGAATATACTGTACGTACAGTTATCGGCAAAAGTAACGCCCGATTTTTTTATTAAACGAATTTAAAAAAAATATATAATTTTTTTCATGTTTACAGTATATACATAAAAAAATTTTTTTTTTTTGCCTGATCAATATTTGCAATGCCCACCCTTTGCATCAAATACCGCTTCGATTCTTGTTGGAACTGAGTCTACAGACTCCAAAAAAACTGACTTCTCTAATTTCGACCACTCTTCGATTAGGACGATTTTGAGGTCGTCTACTTCTCTTGGAAAATCTTGTCGGCTCTGAATATTATCCTTCAATACCTTCCAAACGTTTTCGATCGGATTAAGGTCAGGAGATCTTGCAGGCCAGTTCAATTTAGGGATTTTTTTTTCTTTAAGCCAATCAGCTACTTTATGTATCGGTGCATTATCTTGTTGAAATATAATTTTTGCACCTACTAACAAACGAGATGCTTTGGCTCTTTTATAAAATGATACTAAATGGTCTTCCAGGACTTTAGTATATATTTTTTTATTGATTTTTTGTTTTGGTCCTTTATACTCATTAAAAAAAACAAGGTGACCCTTGATCCCGCCAACGAAACAACCCCACACCATTACTGAACATCTACCGCTCTTAAAACTCGGGGTTAAGCACTCATTTTTATACCTTTCACCTTCAAGGCGCCACACTCTAATTTGGCGTGATTGTTTACCGATTTCGACAGACGTTTCATCAGAAAATATTATGTGCCGCCAATCATAGGCGCTATACGGTAGGTATTTTTAACACCATTCAAACTTTTCCTTTATGTTTTTGTCTGTAAGAAATGGCTTCCTTGCTGCTACACGAGACTGAACACCAAAGCTTCGAAGAGCTCGAGAAGCAGTTCTCAAATTGCACTCAAGCTTTAAATCGTTGACTAGGACATGCAAAGGCTTGCGTCTTGTTTTCAGGGCCGCTTTCACTAGAGCGTTTTTTTTTCGTTGTTTGAGGGCGCGAGGTCTTCCAGACCTTGGCAAATTAGCTATTTCCTTGGTTCTCTGGTACTTGGTGAGAAACCTTCAGATTGTGGTGGGGTCATGCCCCATTTCCCGTGCAACCTTCTGGGCGCTCATATATTCAATATAAGCTAGGATTTTTCCTTTTTCTTCGTCCGTCATTAAAGTGCCAGTCATGCTTATATTAACTTTTTTTTTTTTTTTGCAGATATTTCGTAGAAAGTCAAAATAAGAAAAAAAAAAAGATTTTTCCCCACAAATTGCTATAAGAGGTAAACATTACGTATTTATATGATCATCGATCACGGGATCAAAATCGGGCGTTACTTTTGCCGATAATTGTACATATCTCACACATATATTTACCTACATGTTTAATAACTTCTTTCTAATCTAGTACCTGTTGTGTTGCTAGTACCAAGTTCGTGTCTCAAGCTATTTTTTAGAATACTGCCATAACCTAATCTGTATCTCAAACTACAACCTTCCTATTTTAGTAGTTGTTACATACTTCTCGCCCTTGTATTTAGGTTCGCACAACTCTAGCACTCACATTCAAACTTTTCTTCTTTTCCAGATTCTTTATCAGTTTCTCTCTTATTTCCAGCCAGCAACCCGAAAGTGTTAGTTTATCTAGACTTTAGATGTCTATATGGTCTTCTTTCTCTTGATACATGCTTCCAGAGCACATGTCCTTTTCTTTTGGTTTGGCGACCTGGCAGTTTGGCTGATATGTCCCCCACTTAAGAATCTAATCACTTGGTACTCCGATCTCAGTTTCTGGTTTCAAATTTGGTCCTCCTGTAGTACTGTTGAAGGCCATGCTACCTCCCAACTCAGAACTTGCCAAACAGGTTTTTGGTTCTTCTGGTATCTCAGATTTATTACGCCAAGGCTCCTATTCTAGATGGTGTGACTGAAATTACAGATTTCTAGATTCTACTGATCATTAAATAGACATTAACTATATTATAGAGCTATTTTTCGAAAACGTTGTTCATGAGATTCAAACTCTAAACCTGCCATCTGGGGGTGCAACAACTCCACCACTTCACTAAGTTACTACACATTTTTTATTTTTTTATTTTTTCTTTTTTTTATATATCTTTTTCTTTTAAGTATGTATTTTAAAAAAAGCATTCTTTTTTTAACTTTGCTTTTTATTAATTTTCTAAATAACACATATATTTTAATTGATAATCCGCCAGTCAACAGAAGAATAAACATAGTGTAACGTGACGCAAATCACTATGTAAATACAATATAGTGTGAATCTGAAAAATTTCTACTGTTCATCCAAAGAAAACATTTTTTGTACTAAGTTAATCGATTTTGTAAATTAATTGAAAGTTATAGAGCTCATCCTTGCAGTTCTAATCATGGTTAAATCATCCAAATCAGCCTAGTGAATGCTAAGATATCTTTAAAAAACATGTCAACGACTATATAAAATCTCTATGTAAACAATATATTGTTTATATATTTTATATAGTCGTTGACACATTTTTTAAAGATATCTTGACATCTACTGGGCTGATTTGGATGATTTAACCATGATTAGAACTGCAAGGACGAGCTCTATAACTTTTAATTAATTTACAAAATCGATTAACTTAGTACAAAAAAATAGTTTTTTTGGATGAATAGTAGAAATTTTTCAGATTCACACTATATTGGATTTACATAGTGATTTGCATCATGTTATACTATGTTTATTCTTCTGTTGACTGGCAGATTATCAATTAAATAAATGCTATGAAAAAAATAATTTGAATGAAGGTTTAACAGATAATTTAAGTAAAGATTCAGCAAATTATATAAAAAAAATTAT